ATATTTATGTCTTTTGTAAACATGGCTTTATATTTTTTACTTTTATGTATGAATAAGAGTTTAATTGTGTTGTTGAGCTTAGATGGAAAAAGTCTGAAAAAAGAGAAGGTAGTCATAATAGGCGGCAAGGTCTACTGTTAAGAGCTGGGTTATATCCAATTGCAGGAGGAGTCCGGAAGGAGGGAAATCTTGCTATAGCAGATCGAACATAGGTATTAATTGGGGTAACTGGGTTGGTTTTAACTTGTAATTTAGATAAACATTAGGTTTAATGCTATGGTGCTTGTCATTTAGAGATAGTTTTCATATACTATCTGCCAACAAGTTAAGAGTTTATCACTTACCTTTCTAAATGCAACTTAGTATAAAATTTTACGAGTCTAGAAGATTCATACAAAGCTTAATAAAGTTAAAACATGACTGTCAAATTTATAAAAAAAAAAAATATATATATATATATATAATATTCAATTTAATTTGACTTTGAGAAACCCTACTAATTAGGCTTACTACAGAATTGAATACAAAGAATAGACAAATCTAATATTTTATTTATAATTTTTTCTGATAGTAAAAATACTATAAGCTTAAACATTATTGCTTTATGCAATTTTAACAAGTCTTTTTCTTTTTTTGACAATATTGATGTAGTTGCTATTTTTATATAAATAAATTAATTCTATTAAATAATAAGATTCTATCATATTTTGGTTTTTTTAATAATTTAATTCTAAGTAACTTTTGTACTTTATTTTTGACTTTACTACTATTATGCAAAAACAAAATTAGCTAAATACAATATAAAATAACATAACAATTTTATTTAAAATAAACTATCAGAGGATAAAATTATTAAGTGAAACTAAGCAATTATCAAAAAATAATGTAACACTGCTGCTATTGTACTTTTGTAATTTGAAACTATCTAAATTCAATATACTCTTGTCTTGAAAAAGAAAAAAACTAAAAACAAAATAAATAAATATACTTTACAAATATAAAAGATGTATTGCTTTTCGAATTAAAGTGTATAAACAATGTTTTGCTAGTGTTTAAAAAGCTCAATTAGAGAAAACCTAAAATATACAAAACTGATAGATATATTATATACAAAAGAAAACAGAAAACATTGAATATTTAGTAAGTTGTAAAGTATTAATAAAGCTAATCCAAGATATTGAAGAGCAAGAAGTTAAGTCGACTCTTAAAGAAATGAAAGAAGTGCAAAACTTGGATAAAAAAAGAGAGAAGATTCTGGTCATGATGGAAAAAAAAAGCCTTGCCAAAGAGTCATGAAGAAGAGAAAGATAGATAAGAGGTCTGATCATAAATAATGTTGTTAGTTGAAATATTTAATTTAGTTAACCATTTAGGCAATTAGTGTCTAAATATATTTTGACATAACATTATTTTTATTTGACATGTCAAAAGTCTAAATTTGACTAAATGCTTAAATAGTTAACTAAATAAATATTATGTGATTAATTATCTAAATAGTTGACTAAATATAAAAATGAAACTTCAATTATATAAATTTTGGATGATTGAAGTCACATTTCTCTTGGTGTTACTAATTTATTACTGTGGTAATCAGTATAGTTTAAGAAAGTGCAGTGTTTACGAATCTCTATTAAGGTCTTTCAAAATTAATATATTTTTTAAGAGATAAAGATCAAATTTGGAATTATGAATATCAAATTAAACAATATATTTGGCAATACATGTTTATATAGTTTAAAAAGTAATTAACAACCTCTTATGCTTATTACACTGCAACTTAATATGATTAAATATTTAGCTTAAATTAGGGTAGAGTTAGTAGTATAGTTTAAAATTAAATTATTATCAGATTTTTGATAATATTTGAACACTTTGTGTTTATTCTTTTTAACACCAATTTTTTAAATTAATGACCAATCATAATTATTCATCACCCATAATAGAATATAACATAACTCGCTTTACTGTTACCAATTTAATCATGAATATAATAGCTATGTTGTAGATTTGTAGTTTGAGAATTTATATCTGCTTTCGCATTAGTAAAAATATAGAACAATTTAGAAATTTTAAAATATCCAAAAATAAGTCTTTTTATTTTAAGATAATCTAAAAACAAACTCATAGCTATAAGAAATAATCTTGATTGAATAGTAAAAAAAAATTAAGATCTTTTGCTACAAACTTTGATGATCAATAATTTCCTATTCACAAAACCAGTAAATATCTTAATTCTAAAAATTGCTTTAAACAATAAACACTAGCAGAATTTTATTCTATGTTATTCTATACTATTTGTAGTATTATAGTATTTTAACAATTACTACAACAGATTTATAATATTTAGATACAACAGTATTAAAAAAATTAACCTTGCATATACAAAAAATTAGGCTATACATGTTCGTTACAATAATTTAAAGCTACTATATTCAAACTGATAATCTTTTTGGTCTATTAGATCCATAAAAGACCAGATTGGCCCAGTTCTAAGAAGGATCACAGGAATGGCAGTTTTAGTCAGAACTGATTAATAGCACTAATTCTCTTATATTTTTTTATATATATTTCTTAATTTAGATATTTCAATATTATTTAGACATTTCGACATTATTTAGACATTTTGGCATAATTTAGGATTTTGGCAATATTTAGATATTTTGGCAAACTAAATATCAAATATCAAAATATTTCTACAAGCATAAAGCAATTTTGGCTAACAACATTAATCACGAAAGAGGACTTTACTGAAATATAGCCAATCTTTATGTCTAATGAACAAGCTAGAAACTTCATAGTAAGGCTCTAGAAGAGATAGATAAAAAGGATATATGAAGAGATTTGGGTCAAAAGATATAAATTAGTGCAGACCTGGGAGAAGAAAATGATATAATGCAAAAAAAAAAGTGAGAATATAGTGCAGATACCAAGAGAAAACAAAGAAAGAAGAAAAGAAAAAAAAGAGCAAATGAAAAGAAAAACCCAACAGATAAGACCTACAGAAGAAAAAGACAAATAAATAAAGCTGAAGCAAGATGGAAGACAATATTAGATATAGTAAAAAATGAAGTTTTGGGTTGAATAAATGGTAGGCAAAGGGCAAATTAGTAGAAAATAAATTAGTAGTCTTGATAGGCCATAAGAACTATCTAATAAAGTATTAATGAACTTGTTTGTAGGATAAATTAATATAAAGATAAACTTACTATAGCAAGTCACATATAGGTATTCGTAGAGAACAACTAGGTGAGCTAATACTTGTAATTTAGATGGCAGAGGAAATAGCCCTCTAAAAAATTTAATATTTCAAAGTATAATATTATTAAACCTAATAAAGTAGAGGCAAGACTGCTGAATTTAAAATATATATATATATAAAAGATACATTATATTTAATATTTACAATTTCTCAAACAAATAATGCAAATATATAGTATCTCTATTTTGGATTTTTATAGTTAATAGTAATATTTGAAAGTGCTTTTTTAACTCTTTCCAATGATCACTTTTATTAAAAATTTTTAAAAAACTTTTTATTAGGAAAAATACTAACAGCTATATTAAACTATAAGATACAAAAAAAAAAACCTAGGATAGCAACTATTATTTAGAGATAGTTCTTATATGCTATTTGCTAAGTTTATTACTTACTGTTTCTACAGGCACTGCACTTGTCATTTAGAGATAGTTTTCATATACTATTTGTTGACAAGTTTAGAGTTTATCACTTACTGAAAAGATTTAGTATTGTGCATACTTTGGTGTGAATATAGTTAATTCTAATAAAAAAAACTCATACTTCTTTATTTTGTATACAAGTAGTTTTTTCTCTCTTTACTCCACCTCTTTGCTACTCTCACAAAAATTTCAACAAAAAGTAGGCATTCTAGCTTATTTTCTCTAAAAGATTGGCATTATTTACTTTTTATTTTTAGACAAATGAAGTAGAACATAAACATAGAATTGTTTTGACAATAATATTCCTACACCATGTAATAAACCAATTGGTGCTTAGATTAACGAACTGACCCAAATTGGACAGTATAGTCAGAAGAAAATTTAAAGATAAGACTTAGCTTTACAATAGAGATATACAAGATTTTTAAATTTAGTATATAATTTTTACAACTATACCTATAATAGTGCTTTTATAGATTGTGTTTTTTTCTGTCTTTTTCTTCTTCTTTCATTTGTTTTTGTTATTTATTTTCTTGTTGCTTAGGCAATTTTTTTTTTCTCTTTTATGTTGTTCTCTTATATTTTTTTTAGTATTAGTTTTTTTTTTTTCATAAGTTAGTTAAAGATGATGAATCCTTCTGCTCAGGAAGCTAGAAAAAAAAGGATAGAAAAAAGATAATCTTGATAGGCCATAAATACCATTTGGTAATGCACTAAATTATTCAGTTGCAAGATTTTTTGGTATGAAGATAAATATTACCATAGCAAATCAAACATAAGTAATTTGAACATTTTGATACTGCAAAAAGCCAGATTAGCTGATACTTGTAATTTAGATGGGTTTGAGATAACTTGAGTTAAAAATCATATTTTCCCTGTGAGTTAAATATTATACTCTAATAAAGTATTAGCAAAATTGCCAAATTTATAAAAAAAATTTTGAAAATGCTTTTCCAAGCTTTGATAATAATATCTAAATATAATAATTATAAGTAATAATATCAAGTTATTTTAATTTTTTGATTAATTATTTACTATATTGAAATATTTAAAGTTTTCAAAGCTTCTTTCAACATAAATCTTTCTGGTTTATATTCCTTCATTTCTGCTTCAAAGTAAACCTTTATAGATGGTTCTAAAACATTCATAATCCTACTATTATTTAGATCAACAACACTATAGCTTAATAAGGATTTTATTTTTACTTTTTTTTCTTTTTTATATAAGCCTATTATTTTTTCTTTGATATCTGTTTTACTAATAATTTTATTAAAATGCTATAGAGACCAAACCATATCTATATATTCATTATTAGTTAAAAATCATAGTTGTTTACAATAAGGAGAAGTCATGAGAGTTATAGGTTTTTCAACTATTTCATTACTTGAATCATTTAAGATATTTGAAATGTTATAGCTATGAGAAATTGTAGGAATTGTAGATGTTAAATTCAAAATATTTGAGACATTCATCATGTTTGCAGATGTGTTAATGATCTAAATAGCAGAATTGAAAAATCAGGTCAAGCTTTAGTTAAATCACAATATGATACAATTTTTTTGGAAAACATTAATACAGTGCATGACACTTAAAGGCTACATGTGTTGATGGCCTAAATAGCAGAGTTGAAGAATCAGGTTAAGCTTTAGTTGGATCACAATATGATACAATTTTTCTGAAAAACATTAATACAGTGTGCAACACTTAAAGGCTACATTTGTCCCATTTTTAAAATTTAAAATTTTAATTTATTTAAAACATTAATTTTTGATGTATTTAAAGTTAATTAATTTGGATTGGCCAAATTTCTTGAATTTTAATTGGTTAAAATGTTTTTAAAATTTTATTATATAAATTTAACCTAATTTAATTGGAGTTTTTTTTCAATGTGTTCCATTTTTAAGCTATATATTTTAAAAAGTTATTATAATTTTTTAAAAAATAAAGCCACTAAGTTGTAGCAAATTGATTAAGCTACAAAATAGTGGCTTCCTTTTTAAAATATCTTTTTTAGATCAAAAGTTATTAGCTTTTAAAGTTTGTGTAGTCTTTAAGTGTCGAGCACTGTATATTAGCAAAAAACACAACTCCAATATGAATACCATACTTCATAGTCTAAAAATAGATTATTTCCAAAATCTGTGATTATTTCTGGATATGATCACATTTTATTTCATCACTTTCAATCTAAATTAAAAAAATTACTAAAACTAAGTAAAACAAATGACTAGTTCTAAGAAAAATAATTACAATACCTTAGATCTGTCTAAACTCCCTAAATATGAATTTGAGCTTGTGATCTCCATTATTGGTAATGTTAAATACAATGTGGTAGGTTTTGTCATTGGTAGTGTTAGATACAATGCAGCAGGTTCTGTCATTTGTGAATGATAGATATTACTTTCTCTCCTTATCCTCTTGTAATATCAGATAAATTCTCACAAAGTTTGTAAATACAAACAAGACAATATACCAAATCAAAAAAGACTATAAAATTAATCAACTTTGAAGAACTGATCATTACCGACTCCTTATAGATACACTCGCTTGACTCATTCAACAAACGCTTCCTGGTGACAAATTTTTGTACCGCAAGACACTAATCCCGAGTCTTTATCGATGCATCCAAAACATGACGGATCTAAAATGGAATGAACTTTCAGACATTATAATATTAAGATTAGGCGTAATGAGGTGTAATATACTAATCTGTTCAAGACAAATCCGGTCTTTAAGTTCGTTCTTCATTTAAACAATATTGTTAGGAGGTATAAAAAGTGTAAAAAGTGCAAAAGCCACTAATTTAGAAAAACCTTACTTGTTCTTTCTCAAACAATTCTCTTCTTTTCTCAACAAATTCGATCTCAATAAGAATATTTTGCTTCTTAGCCTGCAGATCCCAAAAACTATTTGCCCTCTTCGAATTTTTTTCATTTTCAAAAAAATAGTAATTAATAATCATCTTGCATGCAAAGAAAATATGACAAAACTTCAGAAACATCGGTGAACAAGCACGCAGCCTTTCCCACTGCCAGCATGTGGCCAACAAGATAGTTTACTCACTGCACATTAATCAACAAGTACGCAGCCAACAGGGTAGTTGATGACAGTACAGAATACTATTTACAATACTGCACACCAACAAGCACGCAGCCTTTTCCACTACCAGCACGCAGCCAACAGAGTAGTTAGTGGCAATATAACCTAAATAAAATTCTATACTTTTTACCTAGAAATTCTTTAACATCTGTTGCACCTCTTTCTCAATTTCAGACATTTTATCATGATATTTGAGAATAGTGTTTAGTTCTGCCACATATCAATTGTGTTCCGTTTTAAATTGCCTTCGCATAAGCAGAATTCCAAGAAAGTTTTAGGCAAAGGTTTCTCTTTTTGCTTCCAAAAAGCTACATCAGCGAAATATATTAACGTAATTTTATGTAAGTTATTATGGCCCGAAATATTGCGCAATAATTACGGTCTGGACATAATATT